AGTTGGGACTGTGGGAAGGTACTTTCGCAGTTTGATTTGCTACCTGAATACTTATTTGGTAAAGTCATACCTGAACTATTAGTCATATATTTATGTATGAACACCGCTTGGTACAACTTTGACAAGGGATTTGTAAGAGTGTGCTACGTTTTCCTCTTAAAAACCAAGTTTTGAACCTTCAGGTTCAAATGTGTCTGAAAATGTTCAATACTGATGAAAAAAGTGGTCCTGAACGTTGATAATTTTTTAATACTTGTCGCTTGTCTGTCTCAGTTAAAAAACTCACGTACAATGTTCGTCGACGGGTGGATTATGCAACTAAGCAAAGCCGGTCCTATATTTGAATTTCACGAAACAGATAATTGTTAAAAGTTGGTTGTAAAGTTTATTTCACTTTCAGAAAATCCAAGGAATGCTTCAACACAACAAATGAATACAGACAACTCCAAATATTCGGGATCTTGTACAACATAATGAACGCAAAAGTCATCTTTTCTGTGTTTTTGATTGGCGGAAGCATCGAAGTCACTGGTGGAGTAGTGATTTTGATAAAATTGAGGAGTCTGGTGCCCCTCGAGTTTATCGGAATTGTTGGCTTGGTCGTGATAACTTGTGCTCCAGGGTTTCTCCTCATGGTAAAAGTAGGGGGACAAATTCATCACAAGTTTGGATTAGTCTTGTTAAAGTGGAAGGATTTAGGAGAATTTAAGCTACATCATAATTCTAAATGGCTAAAAAGATTTGTGCGATCCGCATCCCATATAAAAATTCGGTAAACTATTTTGAGGCCAAGTCCCCACTGGATATGGTTAACCTGTGGTCAAATATCACAATGACGTTAATTCTTTTGACTTGAAGTACTCACACTCTTAGAAATACAGTATTAAGATAAGAACAATGATATAGGGATTTATACATGTTCTTATGTACTATGACTCCTAACACAACTGATACATATATTTAATTAGCACATCTGTTATACATAGCCTCAACTTAAAAAGTGATAGGAGAGTAGACGACCATATCGCTTACGTTTTAAGGAATTTCAAATTTATCTTTATTCCATTGGAAAGCCAGTTAAATTTCAAGTAGAAAACATGTATTAAACTTGAAAATATATTCCTTTTGTGGCACTGAGAAATTGTTCACGAAAGGCATATATATAGGGCGCCCTATATATATGCCATGGTGGAGGGACCCTATGGGGTCCCTCCCAGATGAACATTTTTCCAGTTTTCCTAAAAGCTTAAAATCTCGAACGAGGTATGGAAAAGTTATTTTATTGAGTATGTGAAAAACTGACGATACAAAATTCCAGAATTTTTTACAACTTGCAAAAATAAATTTAGCCAACAATTTTGAAGAACACGTTACATAGATGGACTAGCATTGATTAGGGTTGCCGCGGGTAGCGAAAATGCTACCCGTTACCCGACCCGTTACCCGCAGCACAACTACCCGTACCCGCACGGGTACCCGTGCGGGTACCCGCTACCCGTTATGAGAATAAGGTTAAAAACTAACCAAACTTCAGAATAAATTTGATTTGATCAATTATTTGTTCATTTGGGTTGATATGTACTTCGAGATAATGCTATGCAAGTAACGCATGCCATAATTTGCTCGTAGGTGTCACTAGCTATTTTTGGAACCAAAATCTTTGGCTTACATTGGATCGTTTTTCAAGCTAGATATACCGATTTATGTACATATATCAAAATATTAAGCCAAAAAATAGGAATTACATGACACTTATTTTTCCGTTGAATGACCCGTTTAAAGGAAACTATTGGGGAACTGTGTTCAAAGTCCACGATGGTTCTCGTCCAGTGGAGGAAAAGATACAGAACATTTACTTAAAAATTAAACTTTGCTGCCAATATTTTTCTTCGAATCGATTCAACAAAAAGATAAGTACCATGTTATTCCTAATTTTGGGCCTGACTTTTTGATATACTCTCCTGGGCAATCTTGCGATAGCATGAAAAAGGTTCAATTTTTTGTTTGATTTTTTCAAATTTTGATTGAAATGAAGTTTTCATTAAAAGAATTGTCTACAAATAAATTTTTTACTTTCTATCGGATTCAGGTTTTTCATCTTCACAAATTACAAAGCACAAATTAAAATCTGGTCAGTCTTACATAAATACAGACAAATACAGGACAAATTATTATTGATATTTTAGAGCAGGCAAACGATGCTTGAGAAACAATAATTGCTCCAAATTTTATGGACGTGAAATGTATTTGAGGCTACCGTATGCTTCTTTGGCTTCCAAAAAGAGACAATAAACTCGTAATAAACGCTTGTTGCTGGAAAATGACAAATAATAAACTGACGCTTTTGTTGGTAAATGCGGACTAACTTGCTGCTAACTTTCTTTGTGAACTAGGTTATGGCGAAAATTAAATAAAAACTGAATTACCCGTTACCCGTGCGGGTAGTTCTCGCTACCCGCAGATAACGGGTACCCGCAAGAATCGTGCGGGTATGCGGGTAACGGGTACCCGACCCGTTACCCGCGGCAACCCTACTTGTTGCTACACTGTTAAAAATCTGATAGAGTTACATATATAACATGTTACATATTATTACTGGTACTGATTTGGTTGGTACACAGTAATTTGTTTCTAAGTGGTAATCGTTTCATTACCACAATATTACTAGGCGGTAGTGCTCGTTATAACCAGTTCCGGTGTAACCATGGCGATGGGAGAATACATATCTACATGCATATGTAAAGTTGCATGTAATATTATTTCACCATTGGTCAAAGTGTGTGAACAACATATGTATGTATTTGTTTATTCATACAATTAATGAGGCTATAATTATACATACATACATACATTCAACTATAACTACATATGTATGTACATATGTGCATATACAGTTTCCATGACAACCCTTGAGAATAATTATGTCTATGTTTTTGTAGACATGCAATAATTTCCACAAGAAACGCATAATGTGCTTTACTTGTCGAGGTCTAGGCAAATTTAACAAAAATTATATTCTTTGACAGTTTTCATGACAATATGGTAATCGTAGTAATGATTGAAACAAAACATTACACATAAAGGGTGCCATTATAAAAAACTGCCAACTTCACCATAGTAACGATTTGGAAATTCGAAATTTTTGGCTTTTATTTATCATCTTCTAGTTATTAAAAAATTATATATTTTTATTCATGACAACCAAAATAGCCAAAAATAAAAAATATAGAAGCCAAAACACCCATCATTACAATCCGTGGCCCAAGTTACGATTAAAAAATCAATTTTGCTTAAAATTGAAATCAGGGACTTGGGGGTGTTTCCAATGGGGAGAAAATGACTGGACGACCTACATAGTCCCATACAGAATAATAATAAATGGTTGACAGGGCAATAGAATTTATCGTTGTCTAGACAACCATTTTGTACACAAAGTGGTTGTCTGTTGAGGTTTTAGTATAATTCCATACCAAAAATAAACCTTTTTAATGTTAACGAACTTCTAGTTTTCCTTAAACTAAAAATATGTTGCTGTGATGGCAAACTAATATACATTTGTCAATCCTAACAACGAGACAACGTACATTCTTATTCATTAACTCTTAGAAATCCAGCATTAAAATAATACCACGTAGTATTCATACATATATACCTCTACCAAAGTGGTATTGAAGAGTAACGCCGTATAGTAATAAGTCGGTATGAAAGTAAAACATTTTGGTCACAAAAAATTTTACCGCATAATTTTCATACCAAATGGTAGCAACCTCAACACCGAGAAATCAACACCTGCGAGACTACATATACCAGATTTTTAACAGTGTATTTTGATTTGGGGCAAGCATAAAATTACATTGTCTCTCGTTACATGCATATTCTCAAAATTGTTACTCCACTGGAAAATAATCTATCCATTGACGCATATGCAAATTTGAATAAAATTTGGCAGCAGAAATTTTGCAATTTCAAAAATTTACAAACCTTCAAAAAATAATTAAACTTTTCTAACAATTATGATAATTATAACCTTTCCTTATACATAAAGGTCGATAATGAAGCCAAACTTTACTTTGTTTTCTACCCGTGTCATCCAAATTTGGGAAGCATGTATTTATTTCCATGGCAACCAGAAACCTGTTTTATATCAGTGCATTCATATGTATTAAACATCACCATTGTCAAGGTTATTTTTCTCAAGTGGTTACGTGACTGTGGTATGTCGCGTGATTTTATTACATAAATCTATATGTATCACCATAGCAACGGAAATTCACTATAGCAACGGAAATTTTCGTGATGATGTCGCGTGATATTCTTAAACATCGTCGTCATTCATGCATAACAACGGAAATTAAAATTACACTCTTAAAAATAATATCACAATTATAAATGCATGCATGAATGCATGAATTCTGTGTACAAATCCGGCATTTATACACTCTTGAAAATACTGTCAACCTTTTGAAACGTAAACGCACATTGAATTTTATCTTAAGTAAACTACACACACGAAATTCAGAGTAAGGTTAAATTGATAAGGAATAAACTTTACTCTGGATTTTGTATAGTTTACTTAATGCAGGATTCACAACCTGCGAATCGTGTATGTACATAGTTTACGTACATAGTTAGTCAACAACTACAATGTGTATATCTAACTTTCTGGGCGTTTACCTGAAAAAGGTTAGAAATAAATCATTCATGTAGAATTCATTCATTTGGTGGTATTTTTCAAATTATTTTTTAGAGTGTACGGACAGGAAAGTAGGGCAATTTAAAGGTTGATCAAGATTTCTGGGAGGGGGAATTTATTAACATTGCGAGATGGGGGGTAGGGTTAAAAAAACACATTTCTTAATTCGTAAAATAATTGGTGAATGGCCCCCACCCTTCCCAATCGAAGAGGAGACAATGGTTGCTATGCTATTATGCTAAATTATTGCTGTGATGCATATGTAACTTGTTATTGCTGACATGGGTTTAAACAAGTCTGCCTTGACAACTTTCCATTTAGTCCTCGTTTGGATTTTAGATCACGCACATCTCCACAGTGTTGCTTGCTACGTTCGTAAGTACATACGTGAAGTAAATTTCCATAGAAACTTGTCACGATGGCTTCCCTACCGAAAATCGCGATGAACAAGACAGTGTACGAGAGGTACATGTCACTCCCACTGGATCAGAATCTGTCGCAATTAACGTACGTCTGGATTGATGGCACAGGTGGGGTTTTTAAAGCAATTTAAAATTTCATAAAAATTATTATTCGTTTCCATGAAAACCTAACAAATACATAAATTCTTTTCAGGCGAATACCTCCGCGCAAAGACAAGGACGCATTATTCCGTTCCCAAGACGGCTGAGGGTAATCTTACAAAAAATATGTACACAAATCACCATGAAACCATGTAACCACACCCTCTAAAAAATAATCATAAAATATAATATAGAACTACCCATCTGGAATTACGACGGTTCTTCCACCTACCAGGCTGAGGGGTCCAATTCTGACGTGTATCTCCACCCTGTCGCCCTTTACAAGGACCCATTTCTCCAAGGGAACCATAAGCTCGTGCTCTGCGAGACTTACAAATACAACAAGAAGCCGACCGAGACGAACCACCGTGCCACGTGCCTCGACGCCATGACCAAGGCGAAAGCGACGCATCCCTGGTTCGGCATGGAACAGGAGTATTCTCTTCTGGACCGAGATTTGCATCCGTTTGGCTGGCCCAAATCTGGATTTCCGGGACCACAAGGACCCTACTATTGTGGCGTTGGGGCGAACAAGGTCTTTGCTCGAGATGTGGTGGAGGCGCATTACAAGTGAGTGATTTTTTATATTTTTACATTTTTGTTGCTATGGTATCCATGTCAACCAATCTATTCGTAGGTACATACATGTATGTACATATACCGTTAGAAATCTGGTTTAGTCACGTAGGCATTGATTTTTAGGTATTAAAATTATCCCGGTTCGTAAAAATGTGCTACGGAAATGGTAAATCTTTAATATGTAACGCGGTATTACTTATGAATACCGTTTTGGTAGGGTCATGCATATATGAATACCGCTTGGTATTATTTTAATACCGGATTTTTAAGAATATTCAGTTACCACGGTAACTAAATAATGATATCATTTCAGGGCCTGTCTATTTTCTGGAATCCGAATCTGTGGAACGAACGCGGAGGTGATGCCGGCCCAGTGGGAGTACCAGGTCGGTCCCTCCGAAGGCATCGACATGGGCGACGAGTTGTGGATGTCGAGATACATTTTGCACCGTGTCGCTGAAGATTTTGGCGTCGTCGTCAGTTTGGATCCTAAACCGATTCCAGGTATTTTGCATATTCGTAGCTGGATGAATTTTACCCAATTTCATATTGTGTCATCCTTTATTTTACGCATTTAACCTTGGGTGAATTTTACCAGATTTTTATTTAGAGTGTACTTCTTGTTTTTAGTAGGTATGGTTTTTTATTTTGACTTTTATTATTCTAGGTGATTGGAACGGAGCCGGTTGCCATACCAATTTCAGCACTGAGGTCAGTTTCATAAAATTTTAATGGTGCTAAAAAAATCAACCCGGTTATTGTCATGGCAACGGTGTTGCTAATTAACTTCAAAAAAATTCACCTAGTCAAACAAGAGTTCATGAGCCATATAAGCCTTGTGCAAAAACCGTTAAATCAACAGTTTACATAAGGATAACCACTTGATAAATTTTTATCTGCGACAGAATTGTTACGTCAACTTGTTAGTTTGGCAAGTGTTTTGTTTTTTTAAAGTGAGTTGTCATGGCAATCTTTCCATTAAATATTGATTGTCATGGGAACGATTTATGTTGGCTTGTTCTATGCCAATATTTTCATTTAAAATTTCCATGCAAAATAATTTCCTGGTCTTTATGAAAAATAATATTTAATAAGCTCAGGCTAGCTATCGAGAGGATTCAGTAGGGAGATTAGTTTTTAATGGTGGCATGTTTTTTAATTGCTGGCTAATTAAACTGTGGCCATGACTACTTTATTTGTATAATGAAAAAAAGAGTTCATGGCAACAACATCCCGTCATTTGCCACTTGACAATGCGATAATTGAGTTCAATAGCCATGCAGATTATTTGACTACATGGGTGTATTTCTGCACACGTATATATTGGCCATGACTGCAAAATTTTGCATATGATTCATAGCAAATTTAATAAACAAAATAATTATACGCTGTAAAAAATTAATAGGAATACAAATTCTTAAATGCCACGACAAAATAATAATAATTTTCTTAGCTGTAAAAATAAATTGAAATTAAAATTCTCATGCACTTATTTTACTAGTCATGGCAAAATAAATGAAAAAAGATAATTCTAAGGTGTGGCAAACTACTAAAAATAAAATTCCTATTCGATTATTTTAGTAGTCATGGCAAAATAAATAAAAAAATTGCAAAATAAAAAAAATATTCTAAGGTTTGGTTAACTAATAAAAATCAAAATTCTTAGGCGATGCGCGGAGAGAACGGGATAGTCGAAATTGAGAAAGCAATCGACCGTCTGTCCCGCCAACATGCTCGCCACATCAAAGCCTATGATCCCAAACAAGGCAAAGATAACGAACGACGACTCACTGGACACCATGAAACGTCATCGATCCATGATTTCTCTGCTGGTATTTATTTTTTATTTTCTTATCCAAGAAAATAATTTGATATTCGTTCAAAAAATAGAGAGAAAACTCCTTAAATTTCCTAAATTTAATTTTTGTTTTTGAGGTATATAAACAAACTGCCAGATAACTGCTCAGATTTTTTGTCTTTATTTTTTGAACGGATAGTAATATTTCTTAATTTTTAATTATAACGGTAACTGAAAACATTTAAATCTCAGGCGTGGCAAATCGTGGCTGTTCAATCCGTATTCCTCGAAGTGTGGCGGAGGAACGTAAAGGATATTTGGAAGATCGACGCCCGTCGTCAAACTGCGATCCGTATTGTGTCACTGAAATTATCGTGCGTACCACTTTGTTGGACGAGTAATTCTTAGGTGTGGATTTTTTTTGTCTTTTTTTGTCTTGCAAAATAAATAAATAAGTGAATTGAAATAAATACTTGTAAAGTTTAAATTAAAATGTAAGGAGTGGTTTAACCAATTTTATTCAAGCATAAAATTTGCACTTATTCATTTGGGAAGCTGCATAAATATTAAAATCTTATAGGTATATATACTTGCATACGAATAAGCTGGTATAAATGCCTCGCTACAAAATTACAGAAAATTTTTCAAAATGAAAAATTCACACATTTCTATTAGTTTGGCCACTGAAATTCGCCACTTCAAGAACCTCGTCATTATGTTCCACCAGTTTTGATATTAAAAATCTCAATGCCAAATCCTCATAGCTAATTGAGAGTTGTGGTTTTTGCCAACATTTTCCAGTTTAAACCATCCTGTACGCAAAACACTAGTATTAATAACAATATGGTTGAAATTAAGCGAAAAAGATAAACGAAATGTCCATCTACATAAATCGATACGACAACTAAACTCATTGATTACTTAATACATAAATACGTATATACATAAATAGTAAGTACATGAATAGTAATTCAGGTTCAAGATTTTGTTTAAAAGCCCAATATGCATTTACCTTCATATGTAAATATGTAACATTAGACTTACGGGCGTTTGTATTGTTACACGAGAATTAAAAAAATTCACTCATCAATACGCAAACCACACCCAGAAATAATTGTATTGCATATCTAAATACATACACTAATTTTTTAATTCGTTCCGCAGTTATGTACCTCAAATCAGAAGAATTAATGACATCGTGATATTTGACCATACGCCAACCATATCCAGGGGGGACTTGGCCTCAAAGTAGTTTACCGAACCGTACCGAATCTTTATACGGGCTGTGGATCGCACAAATCTCTGCCGCCATTTCGAATTATAGTCCAATGTTGAATCTTGTAAAGCCTTCCACTTTGACAATAGTACTCCCGACTTGTGGTGAATTTGTCCCCCTAATTCCGCCAAAAGGGGAAACCCCAGAGCACAATTCGATACGACCAATCCAACAATTCCGATAAACTGGAGGGGCACCAGATTCCTCAACTTTATCAAAACGACTAATCCACCAGGAACAAGGAAGCTTCCGCCAATTAAAAACAGAGGAAATGTGACTTTTGCATGCATTATGTTGAACAAGATCCCAATTACTTGGAGTTGCCTGTATCCATTGGTTGCGTTGGAGTATTCCTTATTTTTCGTTAATTTTCTGAAAATTAAATAAAATTTTTCAAGAATGTCTAAATCATTTGCTTAAAGAAATTCAAAGATGGGTTTGTTCTTGGATCCTGGAACTATACTTCTAAGGACCGAACCCACTGGCTGCGGAGAGATGGGGACAGTGGGGACCCCACGGTTATTCGATGTCCCCATTACCTGCCCATGTTATATATTTAAGCCCCTCCCTCCATTATCTTGAAATGTTAATGTCCCCAGAGGTCTCGACGGCTTCAGTGGCCACTGGTGGACCCCAACTAATCGCGTCTCTTTACCATGTTTGACAGCAAAACGATATACGTAAGTATGTAAGTGAGAAATAATTTTCTAAAAAATAAAATCAAGTAATAATCCGTAACAACTGCAGAAATGACTGATCGCGAAATAAGAAAGTGAAAAATACAATTTTAATATTATCCACAAATTAGGAATGATGGTCGACAAAACAACTGGCCGCCAGTCGACAAGTCGCTGAAGAATTGTAAACCGGTTGAAACTAATAATAATGCTTTCAAACGGGAAAAATGGCATGCACATCAATAATTTTTGAAATGCTTCGGAAGAATTAAGAATACATGTTTCATTTACTCACAATTCGTACAGGAAGCGATCCAGATAATCCAAAGGGATTACAGTTGATACGAATGCAATCCCAATTGGTTCCACAAGACTCAGCATTGCAATCGAGTGTAGAATTGCGACCGGGACGAAGGCCAGGGTTGACATGGAAGTGCAAGATGGCAACAATGACCCCAACATTGTGGGCATGCATGGGAACGCCATTATAAATCCGATCATTAGAAATGGTACCCCAAACGCGGCCATTATGCCCAAGAAGAGAAGCACATGTGCAGGACGAAGGACTCGGGTGGAGCCTAAAATATATTAAAAACTGACAGGAAAAAAATTATCCAAAAACCGAGTACTAAAATTTGATGCAATCTTTATATGTTAGTGCATTCAAAGAATCTGAAAGTAACGTACATATTTACCCACATTTATGTATGCAAGGGTGAGCAATTATTTCTAAAAATTCATAAAATATTTGTGGTTTTACAGGTATTTCGATTGATGGTCTTACAAGGAAAACTTTTGAGGTGTCGGTCAAATCCATGATTCCGAAGGACAGCATTATGTGCACAATATATATAAAAGTGACATGTAAATTTAACTGAAGAAACATTCGCATAAAAATTTCTTATTTTTTGACGGTCAGCGAACTCTCATGTCGCCACAGCAAGTATTTTTTGCACGGAAATTCCTCTTACAAGGGAACCTTAAGTACTGTCCCATCTCGATTTCCTTTCGGATAGTCTTATTTGACAGATAATTTAATGTAACTTAAACTTTATCATAGAACATACGGTGCAAAATCACGTTGTCGCGAAATATTTGGCGAGAGCTGCTCCAAAACGTGTCATTTTTCCAATGCTTTTAACATAGATAATAGCCTTCAGAATGATGAATGAAATGAAGTTTATAAATTATATACCTGTCTGTAATTTCATGCTGATCACCAATATGTAAAAAAACGATGAAAACATTTGCAATTTTTTAAATTGCGAAAATCTGCAAAATTTTATAAATTTTAATTTCTCCATTTTTTGAAATTTCAACAAAATTTAAATGTTAAACTTCATTTAAGCATTACAAAAAAGTTTTCAAAACCCAATTTATCCTTACTTCAATACAATGGGCCAAAATTTTCAGAAATTAAAATTGACAATTTTTCCTGAAGAAACATAACATGATCAATGCTAGGGTTGCCGCGGGTAACGGGTCGGGTACCCGTTACCCGCATACCCGCACGATTCTTGCGGGTACCCGTTATCTGCGGGTAGCGAGAACTACCCGCACGGGTAACGGGTAATTCAGTTTTTATTTAATTTTCGCCATAACCTAGTTCACAAAGAAAGTTAGCAGCAAGTTAGTCCGCATTTACCAACAAAAGCGTCAGTTTATTATTTGTCATTTTCCAGCAACAAGCGTTTATTACGAGTTTATTGTCTCTTTTTGGAAGCCAAAGAAGCATACGGTAGCCTCAAATACATTTCACGTCCATAAAATTTGGAGCAATTATTGTTTCTCAAGCATCGTTTGCCTGCTCTAAAATATCAATAATAATTTGTCCTGTATTTGTCTGTATTTATGTAAGACTGACCAGATTTTAATTTGTGCTTTGTAATTTGTGAAGATGAAAAACCTGAATCCGATAGAAAGTAAAAAATTTATTTGTAGACAATTCTTTTAATGAAAACTTCATTTCAATCAAAATTTGAAAAAATCAAACAAAAAATTGAACCTTTTTCATGCTATCGCAAGATTGCCCAGGAGAGTATATCAAAAAGTCAGGCCCAAAATTAGGAATAACATGGTACTTATCTTTTTGTTGAATCGATTCGAAGAAAAATATTGGCAGCAAAGTTTAATTTTTAAGTAAATGTTCTGTATCTTTTCCTCCACTGGACGAGAACCATCGTGGACTTTGAACACAGTTCCCCAATAGTTTCCTTTAAACGGGTCATTCAACGGAAAAATAAGTGTCATGTAATTCCTATTTTTTGGCTTAATATTTTGATATATGTACATAAATCGGTATATCTAGCTTGAAAAACGATCCAATGTAAGCCAAAGATTTTGGTTCCAAAAATAGCTAGTGACACCTACGAGCAAATTATGGCATGCGTTACTTGCATAGCATTATCTCGAAGTACATATCAACCCAAATGAACAAATAATTGATCAAATCAAATTTATTCTGAAGTTTGGTTAGTTTTTAACCTTATTCTCATAACGGGTAGCGGGTACCCGCACGGGTACCCGTGCGGGTACGGGTAGTTGTGCTGCGGGTAACGGGTCGGGTAACGGGTAGCATTTTCGCTACCCGCGGCAACCCTAATCAATGCTAGTCCATCTATGTAACGTGTTCTTCAAAATTGTTGGCTAAATTTATTTTTGCAAGTTGTAAAAAATTCTGGAATTTTGTATCGTCAGTTTTTCACATACTCAATAAAATAACTTTTCCATACCTCGTTCGAGATTTTAAGCTTTTAGGAAAACTGGAAAAATGTTCATCTGGGAGGGACCCCATAGGGTCCCTCCACCATGGCATATATATAGGGCGCCCTATATATATGCCTTTCGTGAACAATTTCTCAGTGCCACAAAAGGAATATATTTTCAAGTTTAATACATGTTTTCTACTTGAAATTTAACTGGCTTTCCAATGGAATAAAGATAAATTTGAAATTCCTTAAAACGTAAGCGATATGGTCGTCTACTCTCCTATCACTTTTTAAGTTGAGGCTATGTATAACAGATGTGCTAATTAAATATATGTATCAGTTGTGTTAGGAGTCATAGTACATAAGAACATGTATAAATCCCTATATCATTGTTCTTATCTTAATACTGTATTTCTAAGAGTGTGAGTACTTCAAGTCAAAAGAGTTAACGTCATTGTGATATTTGACCACAGGTTAACCATATCCAGTGGGGACTTGGCCTCAAAATAGTTTACCGAATTTTTATATGGGATGCGGATCGCACAAATCTTTTTAGCCATTTAGAATTATGATGTAGCTTAAATTCTCCTAAATCCTTCCACTTTAACAAGACTAATCCAAACTTGTGATGAATTTGTCCCCCTACTTTTACCATGAGGAGAAACCCTGGAGCACAAGTTATCACGACCAAGCCAACAATTCCGATAAACTCGAGGGGCACCAGACTCCTCAATTTTATCAAAATCACTACTCCACCAGTGACTTCGATGCTTCCGCCAATCAAAAACACAGAAAAGATGACTTTTGCGTTCATTATGTTGTACAAGATCCCGAATA